AAAAAGTAGCTGTTCCCGACCCCGACTTGCTGACTGTAGCTTCCCGTTATTTTTCTCCGAGTCCTTCGAAAAGAGATTCCTGCGGTTTCCACAGTTTTCGAATGATATGCATAGAAGAATTAAAACTTATGCTCAGTGTAAGACCGATAGCTGCAGTGCGGAGAGCAGTAAGTTTGACGTCAACTAGTGAACCTGTAGAATTAACAATATAATAAACCAGAGCTACGATATCGCTCTCAACGTAAGCACAGATCACGCAAACACTAAGGAACAAGATGTACTGCGTGACAGCTTTGTGTTTGTCTAGTATCACTATGAAGAGCACATTACACAATGTACACAGAACGTTGTTAGTCGCAAAATAAAACGAACAAAATTGAAGATGAGAGGAAAACGGAACTATTAGAGCGAGAACTAGTAAATAAATGTTTGACGAAAACCAATCGCTTCGAATCACTTTTGGGTAGTTGGTCGAAACAGTCCAAGTGGCCTTACGTGCAAAGTAACTGTAGAGAAAAAAGCAGAACAGCTGAAAAGGTGACCACCAAAGAGCAACAAACCCAGTTAAAGAAAAGGGTACGCTGTGAGCAACGACTGTACCATTTCCCTTTGAACTGACCTTTCGTTCCTCACTTGTAAATTTAAAAGGATGAAAGAAGTAGTTATCCCCTGGAAAACTATTGTCGCCTTGATCAAATCTGAAGAAGGACAACCCTCCTGTAGAAATTCCTACAGGGAGAGCTGCTACAATAAGAATCAGATAACACAAACCTACAAGAACTTTGCAGAAACATTTTCTTATAATGATACATCGTCGTTGTCTTGTATTGCTATCATAACGAACTCCATTTAGAAGCGGCTGCATCTCATTCTCCGTGTGGGTATTTGTTACGGTTTCTTCGGTGGCTAGTGAATGTAGCTGACGATGCTCAATTGTGTTTAGTTCACCTTCTTCCATGATTCGAGTCTCCATTTCAGCAGCAGTTTCAACACTATTTACTCGCTGTTGGTTGGGTTGCCGACCGCTAGATCGCACCCACTCAAGTTTAAACTCTGAAAGCCGCATCCACACGACAAAATAGACTAATGGCCCAACGAGCATCCAGAGGAAGAGATAATATAAGTATCGTTCCATTTTCTTCAGTTCATTACGGTCTAGGTCGTCTAGGGGAACCGTGATTTCAACAATAGTACGGTCCGTCTTTGACAGCGTCAACTCTTCGAGGCTCAGATATCTAACAGTCTTCACCCCGACCTCATCAGTTGATTCATTCCGACACCCTCCTGCAGTCGCGGCAACCGGGATTACTACTTTTTCTTCGCTTGGAATAGTTTCTGGTAGGTTGATTAGCTTATACTTATTATGCGTATCTAAGTATCTAGTAACGAGCAAATGTACCAAAACGGCATATCCAGTGTTCTGTGCATTCAATGCCAGACGTTGCAAAGGACACGCAGTTTTGTTGACAAGGGTGACAAAAGCGAATTTGTAAACTTGAACGCTTGCTTTGCTTACGTCACCAAGTGGTTGGCACGCATTGTTGAGGTTAAAATACAACGCAAGTCCGCTTATAGACGAAATGCCAGGGTTTTCCTTTGATGCCAAGGCATGAATTAAATGTTCCAACGAAGGTAATTGAAATTCGTCCTGCGTTAAGTCGCAGAGCACCCTCCCGGGCTTAAAAGCCTTTGATAAATCCATCGACGGGAGCCGATCGTTTTCTGGTGTCGGATCCCTTGTAGACTCTTCTCGGCAGCCATTTCTGACTGCAGCTAGAAAGAGAGTGTACAAAGTCACACCGACGAAAGCAACAGAAATGATTAAGACCAGGCACTTGTTCGACATCTCTGTATGAAAATGGCCGTCGATAAAACCCGGAACACGGAACATTGCGGAACATGCCGGAACATGCCGGAACATGCCGGAACGTGAAAAAATAAAAATAATCTTCATGAGAAAAAATATATATATAATAAAATAATGATAATAAAATAATTTTTGTAAAAATTAATAATAACGTAAAATAAAATAAAAAAAAACGAAAAATAATGAAATAATCAAGAAAAAGAAACTGGTATGAGAAAACAATATTTTGTCGCAACAAATTAAAATTTGTTGGGCGAGTGAGGGTTCATGCAAATGACAGTAATGAGTGAAGGCTTGCTTCTAAATTCAAAATATATTAAAATGGTTCGTGAGGAGGGGGTTAAGCTTTCCTCACACAGCTACCTCTTGTAAATGTTTGCCATGAGTCTATCATTTGGCGGGGGATCCATTTACGGTTCTTTAATGGTCTGAAACGGTCGATGCAGTATTTCATGTCAAGCCAAGTCGGTAAGTTGCTCATTTCAAGCCAACATATAGTCTCCTTATATAATATATAGATTTAGCCAGGGCTAAAAGCGAAGCTCCCATTAATAAATTTATATTTTTTTAGAGTGAAACATCTTACATCGAGTTGATAGCCTAAATATACATGTATGTACACCCAAAAAATAGCAAACATCTTCTATCACATTCAAGAGCCATAATGGCTCTTGATCACAGTAGATTAGGCCTCGAAAACAAATTCTTGGAAAACAAATCAGGCTGCATTTTTTTGCCTTCGACAGGTTTACTTTACAAATTCTTGCCAACAAATTTGAGGGTGTGTAAACCAACCTTTTATGCTTTTTATACATCACATCTGAGGTGAAACAGTACTTTTTATCATACAGACCTCGGACAGAATACGGCATTTCACAATTTTTCAATGTTCAGGACGATCAATCGCGGCAGGTACAAAACGCAGGTCACAGGTCACAGGTCAGGTCACAGGTCACAGGGCACAGGTTACAGGGCACAGGTCACAGGTCACAGGTCACAGGGCACAGGTTACAGGTCACAGGGCACAGGGCACAGGGCACAGGTCATAGGGCACAGAAATCGCAGTAAAAACAGTTAAGACACTCCATTAGGCTTTTTTGTTTTATTTCCGGTTACGCCATAATCAGGCATATGCTTGCCATCGACCATGCTTTCCGGTTTTGTACTGAGGGTTGAACAAGTAAATGGCTAAAGTTACACATTGTATTGGAACTTGAGGAGTTCCTTCTCTGGAGATCTCGAAACGAGGCTTTTTCTTCGCTCCACGCGAGCGGACTTGGAACGAGGCTCTGAGAGGAGAATGGAACGGAAAATAACCTCGTCTGTGCAGAAAGCAACATGGCGGAAGACCAGAGTTTCGAGGTAAGAAAACAGCACTTGCTGACAAGTTATTTTGGCCTCAGTTCCACTGAAGAACTGAAAAATAACTTAGTGAATTATCAACACACGTCTACTTCGCTAACTATCGACTGTGCTGCAATCGTGAATTGCCAATTTCGGTTTGTTGCTGCGTACATTGATGTTTAAGACTTAAGTTGTCATTAAAGGGGCTATGTCAGCTGGAGAGCATGCGCTGTGAGGTTATGCAAATTACTTTCAACTGTCAAAATTCTATTGTTTTTAACGCGTGACTTTCTCCATGTGCGCTGTGAGGTTATGCAAATTACTTTCAACTGTCAAAATTCTATTGTTTTTAACGCGTGACTTTCTTCATGTTCTCTGTCACGTCCAAGGTTCCGAATTTAGAGAGGTTTAGCGAAATGGGTTTAGATAAGGGATATTTCGATAGAATTTATGGAACGTTTCTTCTCTGGTTATGCTAGATCAAGAATAAAATTGCGACGACAATTTTACTTGTAGTTTTGAAGTAAAAACGCATGCCATTCATAAAATAGAGCGCAAACAAAAATTCAACAACAACATATTGTCTTATTCAACAAAATAAATGGAAGTTGTATTTTACAAACGAGCTACAAAAGACGCTAGACCGAAGATAAAGACCAAGACTGTTTCAAATCATTAACAATTAGACTTGTCTGTCGCTATTGATTTTATAATTTAGATGCTGATAGAACAAGAGACCAAGTCTTTGTTTTGATCTTAGGGAAACATACATTATCGCGCAAAATTGTTCGATCGTGCCGAATCACTGCGACGTCGAGAAAAACCCAGCATCATTGGTATACTCCTCCACTATAAGCAGTCCGTTGATAAAAAGGGAAAGCAAACTCTGCTATTTTCCAAAATTATGCTCCAACACAAACAGTTCAAAAAAAAGGCATTTACAGGATCTAACTCGTACTAAGGTGCCTCTCTAAGTCCGTTGAGAACAATCTGGACGAGCAAACGGTCGTGTTTATCTTTGCCGTGAATCGAGATAAATACAAGAAGGAATCTAGCCGAATTTTAGAATGTTTCCTTCGCCAGGAGTTTAGTTTCGTCACGAAACTCATGGCCTGATGCTCTTGTAATCGTTTACAAAAAACGGCCGCCGCCAACTCGATAGCGGCTTCATTATATGTCCACATACTTTGAGCACAAGAAAAATCCAAGAGCCAGCAGCCTCTAAAATAACTCAACAGAAAGGTCCTGTGAACTATAGGGAAGATTCCATCAAAGATTCCATCACTCATTGTGGAGTAGCCGTCGTTAACTCTGCCATTACAACGACCGCTGATAAGAGGACACAGTAAATCCACGTAAAAACATTCCACAGGCAAACAATTTTAAAATAACGCCAAAAAATTGTTCTGTAATCACCATAGAATGATTCTTTATACAAAACTTCGCTAACTATCGAACGATGGCTGAGATTTAGACAGATAAAAACAGCCTTCCAAAATCTCCGACACAACTTGAAAAAGTTGGGCTGTCTTTTTCAAGTTTGTTTTCATTGGCTCGCGCATGCGTGTTGGGTGACATAGCCCCTTTAAGTTGAGCAATGGAAACATGGTATGATTCTAGCCGTAGTTACGAAATAGTGACACCTTTTAGACCAAGACCGTTTGCATAATTTGAAAGTTTTTTATATAACTATAATCTTCAAAACCTAACGTACTTGTTCGGTATCGCTGTTAGCAGTCCATGCATCAGGACCGAGCTTTGTTCCATTTTATTACGCGAATGAAAGAAG